CTGCTTGTCTCTTATCTCATCTTGCCTGTCTCTCACATCTCGCCCTCCCCCCCCCCCCCTCTCTCTCTCTCTCTCTCTCTCTCTCTCTCTAATATTTATATTAATATATACTATATTATATATATGTAGACTATATGCTTTCTCTCTCTCTCTTTCTCTTTCTCTCTCTTCATTCTCTCTCTCTCTCTCTCTCTCTTCTCTCGCTCACGCTTATCTCTCGCTGCTCTCTCTCGCTCTCTCTCTTTTCTCTCTCGTCTCCTCACTCTCTCTCTCTCTCTTACTCTATACTATATATATATATATATATATATATATATATATAGATATATATATTTCTATCTCTCGATCTTTACTACGCTCTCGCTAACGGCTTACATGAATAATGCGATGCGACAGCTTAGAAGGCGTTCACACACAAATCTCAAGTTGAGCCTATAGTGAGAGAGCAACATTACTGAAGACGATGACGATAGCGGCGGCGGTGATAGTGACGATGACAACGGCCAACGGCGAGGACGGTGATAGTAACGATGACAGTGACGAGGACGGCGATAGTGGCGATGCCAACGGCGGCGAGGACGGTGATAGTGACGATGCCAACAGCGGCAACGGAGATAGTGACGATGATAGTGACGGGAACTATGATAATGACGATAACAATGACGGGCACACTGATTGTGAAGATGACAATGGCGGAGACGGTGATAGTGACGATGACAATGACGATGACAGCAGCAGCAGCAGTAGCAGCATGTTATCTCACCGCACGGCACAATAACGCCTTGATGTAGAGGCAGCATCTAATTGGCTGTAATTAACTTATAATGATCGTCATTAACTATGAAGCCATTAACAATGATGGCGGCGGTGATGGCGTAGCGATACCACCCCCCCCTCCTCCACACATGTACGTACGCATACACACACACACACACACACACACACACACACACACACCAACCACACACACATCACACACACACAACACACACACACCCACATTACACATAGACACACACCACACGCATTACACACACATACGACACACACACACCATCACACACACACCACACACACACACACACACACACACAACACACACACACAACGATACACAAAACACAACACAGCACACATAGACACACACATCACATCACGACACAACTACACACACAACCACACACGACCGCACACTAAACCAACACACACACGCGATACCACAAAACACACACACACACACCACACATCTACACACACACACCATACACACACACACACATACACACACCACACCACACCACATACACACAACACACAACACACACACCACCACTCATAACACACAGCACACATTACACACAACACACACATACACCAAACGCAACACACCACACACACCACACCACAACATACACACACATACACACACACACACACACACCACACACACAACACATACACAAACACACACACACACACCACACACATACACACCACACCACACACATACACACCACACCACACACACATCACACACATACGCACACACACATTACACAAACCACACACACACACACCACACACACACACATATACACAAAACACACACAAAACACAACACACACACACACACACACACACATACACAACCACCACACACACAACACACAACACACACACATTACACAAACCACACACAAACACACCACACACACACATCACCACCATCATTACACAACACACACACCACCACACGCGACGCACGCACACCACGCACGCACGCCGCACACACACACACGCACGCGCGCACGCACGCGCACATAATCACAACACACGCACGCACCGCGCGCACCGCACGCACGTACGCACGCACGCACACACACACGCGCGCACAACACACACACACACACACATACACACACCATATATATATGTAACACACACACACACACACACACACACGACATACACACAACACACACCAAACACACACACACACATGCACACACACCACAACACACAACACACACCCACACACCCACACAACACACGACACACACACACACACACACACACACACACACACATAACTACACACCACACACACACACACATACACACACACACACACACACAACATACACAACACACCACACATTACACACACACACACACACACACGCACGCACGCACGTACACAGCCACATACATCACCAGCACACACACAACATACATCAACACACGACACGACACACAACCACACACGACACATACACACAGCAACACACCACACCACACACCGCACGCCGCACGCACGCACGCACGCTACGCACGCACACACGCACGCACGCACACACGCACGCACGCCACGCACGCATCGCACGCACAGCACAAAATCCACACACACACACACACACACATTTATTTACACGCCTGAGTTCGTCCACGCCGAAGAAACGCGAAGTTAATGTGTTTCTCGTTTAACTCTTTCTCTTCCATCGCTGTACCTCCTCATGCGACAATACTGTAGGCACTCACACGGTCTGCCGGTCACCGGGCGCGTGTTGCTTGATGCGTGTTCGACCGGCGATCGTAACTCGGACTACAAACGAGCCGTAATTCGTCGCTGAAAGTCGTTTCGCATCATCAGACCCGGCGAGTGTCTATATCTACGACCATAACTTCCTCCCTCCGGCCCCCCGCGGCCCTCCTTCTCTCCCCCTCCCCCACGTTTATTGGGAGTGCTGTGTGGTTTGTTAATATAACGGCGTTTCCTTGTTTGATTGTTTCTTTGTTCTATGGTTGTTCCACGGTTTGTTTTGCTCCACCGATTTGATTGTTCCTTTGAACAACGAACGTTAGATTAACATTGTGAATATTTATTTTTATACGGGAAGGTTAAATGCTGTATGTCCGGCAGCCAACGTCCGTGACCGTGAAATAAAAAAAGGGAGGGGGCGTGAGGAATGTGCGCGCGCGAAATCACGCTGGCGGCGTGAAATCTCGTGGCGTGAAATCACGCGACGTGAAGTGGATGTGTATTACAATCGAGGAAGAGCGTGGAGTGAGTGCGCGTGTAGAATTGACGAGGCCTGATGTGCGTGGGTGTAAGCGAGTTCACGAGGGGTGAGGTTCATGGTTGTCGTCATCATCATCGTCATCACCATCGTCGTAGTCATCGTTATCATTGTCGTCATCATCGTCGTCACCATCGTCGTCATCATGATTGTCGTCGTCAGCAGCGGCGCCGCCGTGCTGTGATCAGACGTTGAATAGTGAGATCGCAGTCGTCTGCTGCATGGTGAGACTGTCGTCTGATGTTGCTATTGTTGCTGCGTATCGCTTGTGAATCCTGCGATCCAGCGGCAGCAGCGGCAGCAGCAACAGCAGCAGTAGCAGTAACAGCAGCAGCAGTAGTACGAGCAGCAATAGCAGCAGCGGCAACAGCAGCAGCAGCAGCAGCAGTAGTTGTAGTAGCAGCAGCAGTAGCAGCAGCGGCAGCAGCAACAGCAGCAGTATCAGTAACAGCAGCAGCAGTAGCACCAGCAGAAATAGCAGCTGCGGCAGCAGCAGCAGCAGCAGCAGCAGTAGTAGTAGCAGCAACAGCAGCAGCAGCAGCAGCAGTAGCAGTAACAGCAGCAGCAGTAGCACCAGCAGCAGTAGCAGCAGTAGTAGTAGCAGCAGCAGCAGCAGCTGCTCCAGCAGCGGCGGTGGCGGCAGCAGCAGCAGCAGCAGCATCAGTAGTAGCAGCAGTAGTAGCAGCAACAGCAGCAATAGCAGCAGCAGCAGCAGCAGCAGTAGTAGCAGCAGTAGTAGCAGCAACAGCAGCAGCAGCAGTAGTAGCTGCAACAGCAGCAGCAGCAGTAGTAGCAGCAACAGCAGCAGCAGCAGCTGCTGCAGCAGCGGCGGTGGCGGCAGCAGCAGCGGCGGCGGCGGCAGCAGCACAAAGCCACGCTGCTAATTCAATGTAAACGTGGCAGCGCTTTGATGTGCCGACCCGCTTTTCACCTGGTTTTCACCTGCCGTTCGATGCGACGGAAACGCACACGTTTTCAATTAGTCTGTTTTGTTCGTCGCCTCGCGTCGGCTTGCATGTTTAATTGAGACGTCGTCGGCGGGAGAGAGAGGGAGTCTGCATTCAGTGGTGTTGTCGTGGGACTGACTTTCACCCTCGGGTTAGCCCGACAGCGTCGTTTTACATGTTTTGAGAGAATTTTACATATTTTGAAAAACGCTTTCAGTTATTGCTGCCGCTGATATTCTATTACTGGGTGATCACGTGTCTAATGGGCGCGTCACGTGACAGGTAATTACCTAGCAACGCTTCACGTGGCATGTGTTTTACATGCCCGTATCACGTGTTATGAGACAATGTTCCATGGGGTATAATTATTGACACATGTTATAACACAATGTTCCATGTAGTATATTTATTGACACTTGTTTTAACATAATGTTCCATGTAGCATATTTATTGGCACATGTTATAAAACAATGTTCCATGTAGTATATTTATTGACACTTGTTTCAACACAATGTTCCATGTGGTATATTTATTCGCACATTTTATGACACAGTGTTCCATGTGGCATATTTATGAGCACATGTTATAACGCAATGTTCCATGTGGCATATTTATTGGCATGTTCTATCGATATTCACATTCTCAGCCGGCGTCACATAATTTATTATAACAGCATATTACATGTGGTAGAGTTTTGCATCAAATGCCGAAACACAATGTTAGATGTTTTATGGCCGCAATTAAAACACAATGGCCGCGTTCACACGGAGCACTTTGACCCGGGTCGAAAACGGTTTACACGGACGTTTTCTTGGTACGAAAACGATCCGTGTCATTTCAACCCGGGTCGAGAACAACGCGAGCGCTGGTTCATTTTTTCCGTGTGAACGCGCACCGGCACACGACCCGGAGGCGTGTTCAACAGCGCGAACGCTCGCGAACGCTCGCTTGCGCTCGCCTTCTGAATGACACTGCGCGGGCAAGGGCTGGCGAGCGCGCGCGATCCTGCTCGCGAGACTGTTCGCGCAGCGCGCGAGTTGCTTTCAAGATGGCGACGGGCAATCTGGCGAATGCAAATCTAACATTTCTGACTTCAATTTCAATCTATTTCAACTTCATTTCATTTTTCATTCATTCATTCACTTCTAAATTTAATTCGTATCAATTTCGTCTGCTAATTCGTTTAACAGTACTTGTTCGAAGACATTAAAATCTTCCGCCTTGGGGGCCGCCATCTTGGATAAAGCGAGCGCTCGTGTGTCGTTCAAGTGGCGCTGCGTTCGTGCTGCGAGCGTTCGCTTTGTTGAACACGCCTCTGGTCAGAATTAGAACGGCGGCAGACGTCGCCAGTGTCGAGAGGCAGAGTTTGCCGCCATGATAAACAATCCATAACTACTGCTACATATGTATACGTGCTTACTCTTACTTATTGTACGGCATAAGTCAGCAGCGCAATGTTACATATTCGATATTGCTCCAGGTACATTTCGCGCAGCGTGTTACACGTACAGCTATTAAGCACGTCATCATTCAAGAATAGCCCATTAATTGTACGTGCGTTCACACATAGACACATCTAGCTCTCAAGCGTACAAGACTGCGTAACACATGGTGCTGCTGTCGCATATGTCATAGCTGTACACACTGCATATTTCACAACGCCGCTGCATAACATATTCCACAGCCGCATTTCACCGCGGTGTCTCGTATAATTCATGGCTTCGCTGTTGCAAGCATTAGCATGCCGAGTGTTG